CATGTTTCTTATAGGTTTTCGACAATGCTCTTTCCAGTGGCATCATTTTTAAATATTGAGAAAGTTTTCTGAAAGGTTTTCCATAGACTGGATCTCTGGAAAACTCCTTAGAAAACTTTTTCAAAACTCAACTCTCATGGCATTAGAAAGAGGATCATGAAAAACCTATAAAAAAATGATTCATGAAATTTTAGTTCACTCAGTGCTTCAAAACTGCGATTAGAAAATAATGATTTCGGGCAAAATCGCTAAAAGAAAAAAATCCTTCTGCGATCGCTTGAGCCTATGAAGAGTCTTATATATAGCCAGTTGATAGAGCTTTTCGAGAATCACAAAATGGTCATTTTCTCTTTTTTCATATCGCAAAATATGAGGGACTGTAACTGAAAAACCTGTTTTTTCGGTTTGAAAGTAATCGATATTGAAACTTTCCCGTATTTCTTTTATATTTTTTTGTTCTTATAGTATATAAAGAAATGTTCAATTTGTTTTGTGTAGAGAATTGATTGAGGTTTCTTTTAGAAAAAAGACTGAAACTTGTCGATCAACCTTGATCGAGATATTGAGAAAATATTGAATGAGACAGGACTTTTGGGCCACCCTTTATAGACTTTTAATACTTACTTTTTATTAGAGCACACAGAAGCATTAAAGAATTAGATAGTTTTGCCGCACTGAACCAAATTTGTTGAAAATAAGGTGGTATATGCAGAATTTCTCGATGAATCCGACAGCGGGTGCGTTGTAATTCTGTCGATACGATCTACGTGATTTTTGCCTAAGTTTTGGTTGTCTCATTAGCACTTTTTTTCTTAACCAATGAGAGAACCAAAACTGATGCAAAAAGCACGTAGGTCGTATCGACGTCAGAGAAGAAGTCAAAATAGAATTACAAGGTACCCGCTGTCCGATTCATCGGGAAATTCTGCATATACCACCTTATTTTCATCAAATCTGGTTCAGCGCGGCAAAAGCACCTAATTCTCGAACGGTTTGCAAAGTCCATTGGACTATTTACTCAATCTGTCGGACTCGGACTGGACTAGACTTAAAAACCTGTTTTTCATGGACTCGGACAGGACTGGACTAGATTTTTTTAGTCCATGGACTGGACTCAAAAATCTGAGTCCATGCGGAGCTCTGGGGCCTACACATTTCTTAAACTCGGTATGCCTAAATTCTATGTACTATAGTAGATAGAATATTTACAGATATTATAATACCGGTAAATTTGTTTAAGATACACACTGTTATAAACAAAGACGGCGAAAATGTCCGGCAAAACAAAATCAAAAAGAAAATTATCCGAAAGTACAGAATCACCCAAAAAAATGCCGTCGATTCGTCGCTCAGTGCAATTTTAGTTATCAGTAATTCGAAACAGAAACCAAAACCTGTTAATGATAGACAACGGCCTAGAAAAGTAGCACACTCAAGTAATATATATTACTTGCAACACATTTAAATTCTTCATAAACATCTTTTTCATAAAAAATATATTTATCCTGTTTTTGATTTTTCAGTTTCAGTTATTTCTTTTCATTATCTAGTTTATCTTGATGAAGCCTGATATATAGATTTGATCGAGATAAAAATGTCACTAACAGGATAAGCATAATATGTTGATGTAACAGTGTGGCGTACTGTATCCGGCTGCGACATAAATATAATCTTGATAAATACTGCAACTAACTCGACACTCAGAGCATCTGGGCTTAGCGCTGTAGAACTTAAGAAGATGTATCAGGGTACAGTATACATACATCACGTGATAAACAGCATAGTCATCCCGATCAACAATTTGCATAGATATATCGAAGCTCATCCGTACCTGGATAAAAACAAGGTATGGATTTCTGTTGCGATAAACATGGTCTTTCTGGCGGTAGGCATTGATTCATGGCTACAGTGAACTATGTCTCTTATCGCGATCTACTTCAACATTTTTTTATCTAGAAGAGTGAAAGCGTTATCTACATAATAATTCTGTCTCGATATATCGTAATAAAATTTCAACTAGCTATATCGAAACACCAGTTTTTATCGTAATAGGTAGGTAGTTTATTCCGGTAACGTATATAGCATGACATATCGAAGTAGATCTATTAGATCTCGATAGTGAATTTATCGCAATAAGTATGATAAGTATCGTGATATTGCCAATTTTTTCCCACCAATATCGAGTTATGTCGCCCGATAGTTGCTCAAAAAGTCCTCATGGGTAGGACGAAAGGTCAGTTCCCGTTTCGTCGAAAGCTTAATTGATATTCCTGTTTCGTCGAAAGTTTTTTTTTCTAGTATTCCTGTTTCGTCGAAAATAAAGCTTTAACTGTTCCGGTTTCGTCGAAAAATAAAACTTGAAGTATAATATAGATTATTCTAATTAATACAGTGTATTGAAAAAAGTAGAGTATATATTATTCTAATTAATGAGAGTTTTCTAAATAGACTAATTAAAAAGAATGCTGAATTATTCTAAATGTAGTATATATACATGCAGTTAGGAACGAAAATTAATCACTATCTATTCTATTTGTATTCAACTATAACACAATGCTTTCTCTGCTATATCTTTCACTATATTTCATGTTATCTATTGTTGAAAGTAAACGTAAAAAAAATTTTTATTACTTGATACTTTTGGTTACACCCAAGACAAAATTGTGAATACTACCGTTTATTGGAAATGTGAAGACCGTTCGTGTCCTGGGCGTGCTATACAATATGGGTCGGATCAACCAGGTATCAAAAAAATAATTGGTATCAAAAAATTTTGATTTTTGTTTTTATTATCACTTGTTTTGTTTCGTTCTCTAATAATGTATTTTTCAAACAATAATTTAAATTCAGCATTCTTTTTAATTAGTCTGTTTATAAAAACCTTATTAATTAGAATAATCTATATTCTACTTCAAGTTTTATTTTTTTCGACGAAACAGGAACAGCTAAAGCTTTATTTTCGACGAAACAGGAACACTAGAAAAAAAACTCTACCAATTTTTTCGACGAAACAGGAAAATTAATTAAGCTTTCGACGAAACGGGAATTCACCAGAACGAAAGACGTAAGTTGTGTAGTAAGAGAACGAAAGAACATATCTTATATCTTTTTCTTTTTGATATTCTACTTTTTCCGATCAAAAACATGTTGATAGCAATCAAAACGAAAAGAAAAATAGGAAAATGAAAACTATTATAATGAAAGGAAAAAGTCCTAACGTTAGTGATACGAAATGACTTTTTTTTTCTTCTTTTCTTTTATCCTTAACGATATGTTTTTAAGAACAGCTAAATAATAACGATATATTTACAATAAGAACATGTAGCACAAAATTAACGTATTTCCTTTGTAACCGAAACAAACACATCGTACAATTTCGTTAAATATGCTTAAATAAATCTTGAGAATTATATAAAAAAAGGTGTCTGACTTGAAAAATGACTCTGTCACAAAAAACAAGAATCTGACGCAGTTTCTCATCCCTTTCGCGTGGTCTGGGCAAAACTTTGTGCTAACATCATCATCATTTTTCGCTAGCGAATTTTATTCAAAAGAATCGAGCTTATCCTATATTTTGATTGGGCTACATGTTTTCTGACGTTTCCCAATTGGGATATATAAGGAAAATGCACCCGGTAGTGGCACCGAAGGTATAAACACTTTTAGCTAAGAAACCAAGGTTTTTTGGAAGGTCTGTAACTGATTATAGAAAAACTTGTGAAAGTTTGTGAATTCAGGGTAGATGCAGGATAAGCTGTGGAACATCTTGGCTTAAAAGTGTGCTGAATCAGACTTTAGCTTAATGTAGCGATCTGATTACACTTAAGACACCTTTTGTTTCGGCGGTCGAAATAAAGTATATAAAGTAATTCAATTTTTATCAACAATCGAACCCTTGAGGACAATCCTTAGCGAGCCCTCCGCCTCGTCTAACGATATTCTGCTGCCATTCCCACCATACCTCAAATTCTATTCCTCTTAGAATCATCCAATAACCAACTAAACATTCAATAGCGCACAGATCGCCTGCCATCTCACTCCAGTCCATCTTCGCTTTAACATTCAGGCTACCGACGCCTATCGCAGACTTTATCATGTCGGAAAAGTGAAGGTACATGTCGAAATAGGTGAACATATCTGAAGCTCGACCGTAGGCCGCCTGGTCACTTGGACCAGTTCTCCATCGACCGTCGTGGTGACCACAAAAGAAGTAATGCTCTCGTCCCGGATGTATCAGATAGATTCTTCCAAAACCATGTAGACCGGTGAGATCCATGCGAGGGAGATCAGGAACATTACCCCATATTTCCGTATCTGGTCGAAATCGGATGATGTGATCATAACGAACTCCAGTAGCTAGCTGATAATCCCGAACAAGTTGACCAGCAAGATACAAAGTTTTTAATTGGGATTGAAGTTGATTTAACTTTCCACCACACTGCCTGACTGTGGATGGCCCACCTGCGATTGGAAAGGTTTCTGCAACTTGAGTCAAATCATTCACCTTATAGCTCTTTAGGAAATTTCCGTAACATTCTTTTAACTGGTAGCCAACGCTCTCAGCCGAGGGAATAATATTCTGAGGCAGTTCGGCATCTTGCCAATAAGTGTAGATGAAGACATCAGCTTCAGTACCTCGCCACTTCTGTATCACTTTCCGAATATGCTTGTTGCACGTTCTTAGGTTGGTTCTGTACAAACCGACAATAACCACAGCTAATCGGCCTCTTGGCACATCGAATTCCTCTACTTTAGAATGTTTCTTAGGAACAGACACCACAGAGCTTGCGGAGATCATTCTAGATGTTTCAGTGATTGTGGAAGAATGCTGCATACTTCCATTCGCCGATGATGTTACAGCACCGATAGTTGAGGAAGAATTTGAACGAAAGCGGGCTTCTGTAAATTCTTGCTCAGTCCAAACAACAGGTTCGACGATCTGACAGAGCAGTTGTTTCTCAGAAGTGAATATTTTTAAACTTCCGTTGTCTTCCAATACTAATTGCTTCACTCCACCACTAGCATCTTTCCGACAGCCACGTATCATGCCACTCCACCAGATATTTTTTTCTACCCATTTCCATGCAGCTGTGGACACACGCACTCTCAGTTCTCCTTCATTCGTCAGGTCAACAGTATGTCGTCCTGGCCATGAATCACCAGTGTTGGTCCACCAGATTGGTCGTCCAAATGTCTTCCCCACAGAGGGTAAATAGATAATCTCAGACAAACGAAGATTGCCAGAAGCCTCAAGATTTAACTGGAAACGACCATTGGGACTTTGTATACTACTACATGTTTGATTTAGAGTTTCCACGGAAGTAAGCACGGATTTGAAAGATACGGTTGTTATAGAATTCTGGTTAGGAAACGATGTCTGCCGAAGATTGATGCGCCATAGAAGATACGAAAAGACACTAAGAACTATAATTGGCAGAATAGAGTTCCAAACCAAGCGGCGAACAGATGACTCCAGGGCTATGAACGTAAATCAGAAAAACCGATCTATACTACAACCACTCCTCAAGTGATTTATAAACGCACCATACAAATTACGCATTAAATCACAGTATTTGAATCAAACGATGTATCTAGAAGTTGATGAAAATAATGAGAAATAAACTAACAAACGCATATAGTGCTCCTCAGAAGTTTGCAATCCTGTCCGAGCAACCATTACCTATGGGAAAAATCCAGGTACATTTCGTCTATAATCGAGCGATACACGACTAGTTGTAATCTAGATTACTAGCTGGAAAATAGACTTTTAACTAGATGCGTCTGCATGTACAACTAGCCATAGTTAAATCTATCGATTTATCGCCCGATAAATCGATAGTTGCAACCAGAAAAAATCTACTAATCGCCCAGAATCAATCCACTACGCCCGAGTTTTCGGATCGGTCACTTCACTCATTCAAGGAATTTTTTTCCACCCCATGATAAAAAGGCCTATTTCTCAGTTATATTCTCTAATGGTTTTTTAAACAGTTTTCGAATAAAAAACATTAAGAATCTGCAGTTTTCAGCTTCACGGGGCAATATCCGGAACATCTGGCGAAGTTTCCGCGACAAACTAATGCTCTGCCAACTGTCCGATGTCGGCACTGAAAAACACCATATAGTAAAACACTACTTCAAATACATGTGGATACAGAGCAGATTTCGCGCTACAAAATGCCGCGGAGTCCCACGCTTCCATCTACTACCATGGTTCATATATTTTCCAATACGAGAAATCTTGTGACACTGTTTGTTTTGTTTCCCCGATCAAAGAACCTTCGAAAGACGAATTTAACGCAACTTCCCAATCGAAACGCTTCATTCTTGAGAGATCAACTCAGCTTGACCTTTATCGCATGTACGAAACGTTAGGAAGCTCTTTTGGGTAAAGTTGTATGAGTTTGCTACAAACTTCCGAAGCAAACAAAAAAAAGGTAAAATTAACAAATTGTACGTCAATCGATGCAGTTTTCATGATGATTCCAAATATCGCGTTAATTTTCAATAAAAGTGTTTCTCGGCTGAGAAAAATGTAAAATAACTGGAAAACCTAGATCTCGGTCTAGGCAAAAAACTGCATAAAACTGTTGATCACCAGATTCAGGCTATATCGATGCACATTCTATGAAATTTTTAACGAATTCGGAGTTTCGGAAAATTTCGGAAACTCATTATACTGAACATAGCTCTTGGAAAAAACTTTTTTCGCTAAAAGATAAACGTTTTTTTTCATACCGCTAAGTCGTAAACGACGCTTTGTAGGTGGAGCCATGACAAAGGTTAATAATAAAAGATAACGATGAATAATGTAAGTATTAATTTCTAATGTGTTGGTTAGTGTGTGTTTTATTCAATAAATCACTCCACTATACATAGGATCATGAAAGCAGGAGAGAGAGGTAGTATTACAGAGAGAGTGATGACAAAGACCTGGAGAAGATAGTACTGAAGAGTGAGAGACAGTACGAATACACAAAGAGAGTGATTACAAGTAGGAGGAGGTAGATCCAAAGTTGAATCAGAAGAATATAGCGAAAAAGTAATTTTTAAAATAAAACATAGATTCTTCAGCCAAAGCTCGCCTGGAAGGTTTTCTAGAAATCCTCTAAAGATCTTGAGAGTATGTCTGTTGGATTGGGCATCGATTTTAACTTATATGAATATACTTTGACTATATTGGGGAAGAACAGAAAAAAATAACTAAAAATCACCTGGCCTATTATCCTCAGTAAAATCCATTTTTCTCAGCGAGGAAAAGGAATTTTTGAAAAAGCTCTTCGTACCTTTGGAGTTACGCATCTGACGAATCTAACCATGTAAAAATATTGACTCTAGCATCTCTAGAAAAACCTGTGATAGACTTGCAAAATTAAGTTTCGGTTTTTGAGCATGGGTCTTAGATAATTATTTTGTGAGCCAATGGTTTGTCCTAAGAATGGTTTAAAACCAGTTTCTTATTCAGTTTTCTATGATCAGAAAAACTAAGTTAGAAGATTCCATCTCATAACATATTTTAAAAAAAGAATCTAAGAAAAGTTGCCAAACTGGCTGTTTTCGACACCTTCCGAGCTTTTTCAAATTTCCAACCGGAAAAAAGGGTTGCGAAAACTCAAAGCACACATATTCTTGACCGCCTTGAAATTCTCTATCGAATGGTGTATGGTATATAAAAAAATAATTTTTTTACTGCATTTTTGCTTTGCGTACATCTTACGATCTAGCAGACACTCTCAGTGTTATGTGTCATGTGTGCGCTGATCAGTTCACAGCATGTTCGTTTTGCTCTAAAAGTATTAAAGCATATATTTATATGGTAACACAATAATGAAAATATCTAATGCACAATCACTACTTTTGAATCTCACTCAAGGATCTCACGCTGTATCTGAAGTAACCACATCCCTCTAAAACGTTTTCGAACCTTACTTATCAGTCAACAGTTAAGGTCGACGACGAAGAAAAATGCCATACATGCGATGTTTAATACTATTACAATCGCAAAATATTAAACTCAGTGTTTTATATGTCGCAAGATTTTCTTTTTCTTCTTCGACTTACTCCTCGCGAATCACCGTCATTCAATTTTTATACTCTTTGGAGATTTTTCTTCTCATTTTTTATTCAGTTTTTTTGTTTACTGCGGCGCATTCTGTTTGCTGATGGCAATAAAACTTACAGTATAATTTTATCGTTACCATCGCTACTAACTAAATAAAAGAATCCTTACGATCCAATGTTTCATTGTAAATGCTGACAACAAGATGAGTCAGATATACCATTAATCTTACCTAAAACATTAGTGACTACCTGTCCAAGTCGTTTTAATGATAGCAAACTCTTGCAAATATTCAGCGCGTTTGATTATGTGTCCTTACCACCCTCGCCGTTTCTCAAATTTCTCTGCCGTTTCAAATGCTAGAGAGCTCGGGTTGATTTTAAAATGTGACCCAGGTCCGGGACTACAACTTGACAGAGTCCGATTTATTTTTGTGTTGCAGTATCTTTTTTTTAAGTTTACTTTATAAGATATGATAAGAATAGGGTATATATTGTAAAACAGTTGAACCTCATGAGATATATATAGTTTTGACTAGAGCTTCGCTGGGCAAAATTAAAATTTTAATTATGACCAGGCAGATTTTAAATCTGACTAGGCAGAATTAAAACAAGTAACGCTCGCTAGCTCGCTGACTCTCCACCGAAGGCTCGGAGCCGCTCAGCTAGTGGTGTGGTGACTCCTGTCTCTGTGCATTCGAGGGAAAGTAAGGGCTCAGTGTAAGCGATGACTCACATTGCTAAGAATTTGAGAAGAAAATTTTCTTGGTTTTTATTAACCATGTTCAGAGCCAATATCAGTTATCAAATAAAAATTGGAATTTTGTATCGGTTTTTGTGTTTGTTTAACGTAACTGTTATAATTAAAAGCAGATGATACTTCTTCATCATTATCATGGCTATCCAATTGTTCTAAAGTAAAGAAAACTACATGCATAGAAGACAAGTGAAACTTTGAAAAAAAATTAAGCGTTTTACCATGTTGTTTCAATTTTTTGTTTCTTTTTCGTCTTCTCCTTCTTTTTATAAAACTGGTATCATTAAAGACAGAAGTGATATGATCTTTCGACATTCTGTCATTGAGTGATGAGCATGGCGAAAGAATGGGATGTTTTAGATCGTCTGTACACATCTATGCACAAAATTGGTAGGGGGTGCGAAGGACCGGGGTTTAACAGTAACAATCATTGTTAGATTCGATTTCTGCAATTTTTTCTACCGATGTTATTGACTGTTGACTATTTATACTGATAGGTTCTTTAGAAATAATCAAATTAATTTCTACTTTCACTTCGAAATAATTAATTAATTATTATGTAATTGGATATGATTCCATTAATTCACAATCAACTTGTAATTTTTTGAATATTTCCGATATTTTTATGATAAATACTTGATCATTATCATCGACGAATTAGAGTAACCAGTTGTACAAAGCATCAAAACCAACATTATAAATAAATCTACGAAATAAAACATCACACATGTTCCAACATTAATTGACTTTTTTACTTTCCATACTTGCTTAACGTTTGTCTATATTTTGTTTCATTTAATATTGCGGCACGCATTCACTCTAGTGACTCATGCCATCACTTAACACTCTCACGTTGATTGTGGCTCTACACATCCACTATGTCACACAATGTAGAGAGGTTCTCTGCTTTACCCATCTCACGAAGGTTCTTCACTCAATCAATCGCTGGTTCAATCAACGAAGAGAGAAATTGATTTGCGAAAAGAAGATTGAATTGAAAAGCACAGCCGAAAAATAAGCGCACAAAAGGAAAAAGTGGAAATCATATTTTCTTATTCAGATAGCATATTACAAAGAAAACGTGTTCTTTTGGCCTAAATATGCACTATGCAAGTTTTTTCGAATCAATTACCTGGGGAAAGGCTGATCTGCATGAGCTGAAAGTTTAAGGGTATTTTAAAGACTACAAGGCCTACATAGGGAACGAAGAACCAGACTGAAATTCGATCTTTTGTGGTTTGGATTTTTGTACTTGCAAAATCCGAAAATTCCTGAGAGTGAGGGTGAGTTTCACAAGATTATTCCAAGCTTCTTACGACGATCGTTTCGAACAGGGCTTAATCTGTCCATCATCAGGTAAGTTTAGAATATACTCTGCATCAAATCAATTCTCAAATCAAATAGAAAGTTATGGAAGTCAATGACTATCCAAGATAGAATGGAAGATATTTAGAATTCAGAGGATCGACACGACGTTTCGTCCTTTCTCAAGGGACTTCATCAGGTATCGTAAGAATTCCTATTACATTAATCCGAAACCTTCAATAGTTTGAAGAAGTGTATGCAGGCAGTGATCAACACTGTAAAAAAATGTCACGGAAAAAAACCGTTGCCAACGACGGAAAACATGTGACGGCAATTTTGATCGGATCCGAAAGAAAGAAAAGAATTTAATGTCACATATTTTCCGTCGTTTGCAACGATTTTAGCGTCACTTTTTTTTAAAGTGAAGCTGGACAAGTACCGCGAGCGTTGATTCAACTTGTGTTCCAGATGAGACTCTCGTGGCTTGTGTTTCATCGAATGTAGATGGTAGTCGAATTTTGTGAAAATGCTGCTGAATCTAAGGCTAAACAACAATGATACGAAAAAGTTTAGAAGGAAGCATTGCACTTAATAATTCAAGGTATCAACTTTGAGCAATTTGTACATTATTGTTCTGGATTCAGCAGAAAAAGTATATATCGATAAACATTTTTTAGAATAGCTGTATCTAGTATATTATTATTCATGTTCTCTATCCGAATTCATTCAACTTTCCCACTGAAGAAAATTTCTCTTACCATAAGCTTCAAATTTTAGTTCGTCATCCGTTTTTCCCCAATCGTATAGTTTTGAAGACGAGCATGTGACGAATCTAACCATGTGCTCTAACACCTTTACAAAAACCTGTGATAGGTTTGCAAAATTTCGTGCGGTCTTTGAGCCATGGACACTGCGAGTTTTTTGTGAATAGGCGTTTGGTTTTAAAAATGTTTCGAGACTATTTCCTAATTCAGTTTTCGACGCTGAATTAGAAAAACTGAGTTTCAATATTCCATCTTGTAACATAACTTGAAAAAATTCATTTCAAAATCAACGAAATTTTTTTGGGTTTTGAGATCCTTTCAGTATTTCGAGTTTTTAGACTGGAAAAAAGTGTCAGAAAAAATCGAGGTACATATATTCGTGATCACCTTGAGCTCCTCTATCCAACGATGTGTAATACGCACCAACAATAAATATGTTTTTCCAAAATATTCTTCAACTTTAAAAGTGTTTCCAATCAACTGTTGTCTTTCAAAAAATGTAAAGTACATCTTAAAGAAAGGTTTCTCTCTAACTCTAATTTTAAATCTTCCAATTAACTTTTGCAACTTGACTTGTTTTTGTTCCTTAATACCGTGGCTTGGAAACGAAGTAATGTTTTTCTAACGTTATCCATTCGATGGAGCTTCAAAAATGAAGAAGTGTCTAATGCAATTTAATACTGCAGAAAAGTTAAGCTTTTATAAGATCTTAAGTTCAATTCGAGTAATTTTTTCCATGCCATGCTTGATAATTCATTCATTCATACAAAAGAAGTACGTATTTTCCGAATTGTACTTATTTCACAGAAAATAGTCGATTTTAAGAGACTTTAGGAAAATTTATAGATAACGAAGGTTTGCAACCCAGCATATCGGAAATAGAAAAAGAATTTGTCATCTAAATCAAGTCTAGTGAAGCATAATACAATCGATCGACTATAAAAACGGAGGACAGTTAGTCCTCTCAATACTGTTTCATCATCTGAAATAAAACCTCTCTAAAATGTTTTCATTATATTTTTCACTTTCTTTTTCTTATTCTATTTAAGGTGCCGTCAATGCGAAACTCAAGTAAAAATGTTTTTTTTTCCGTTTCTTTTACATCATTTGATAGACTGAGAGTTGCTGATCACGAAAAACAACTTTTCACTGATAAAATGAAAAAATTTGTACACAAACAATTCTCATTTCAATTGTGTCGATTTTATTTGTTAAAAAATTTTCGATTGTTTCCAATACTTTTGTTGGTACAAATTTCTGCTGAGCAACAATTGCTG